TGCAACAATACTGTTTTCGATTACCAAAATCGCGCCCGTCCGCGTGCTGCACTTTCCCTTTCCCTCACAAGGAGGGGGGATTCTCCGCCAAGCCGATCACTAAATCATTGCTCAGGAAAGGGCAGATCGCACAGGAGCAGGAAGGATGTGCTAGGTTGTCTTCCTGTCCTGTCCACCCTAAACCCCAAAGGGCTATTCTGTATGCCGCTCCTGCAAGCATTGATGTGACTTCTGTGCGAAAAGAGCTGTTCAAGCAAAACCTACGGGTTAAGCCCAAACAGCCTTCACCTGTTGTCGCGATGACGACTCCAAGCCCGACGATGCCAGAGTGAAGCCATTGAAGGCAGTGCGAGACAAACTAGCTCTCGAGCTCCTGTGTCACGGAGGCTTGGCTGCTGAGCGTCTTGGCCTTGAAGGCGAAGAATTCTACGAGGGCATCAGGCGCCTCTACAGCCAGCTCCCAATCCAGAGTTTGTCCGCGTCCTCCTTCAAAGACAGCATAGTGCCTGTGCCCAACCTGGTCGCCCTGGCTGAGCTCAATGACATAGGCCTGAGTCATCTGCTGAACAAGGTAGCTCTCCGCAAGGAGAAAGCCGTAATCCTGGTGACCGATTCTACCTCGGCTTTGATCTACAAAGATCACGGCCAAATCATGCGAGGCGACATGTCGCGTGAGGTAGAGATGGCAGCTCAGTCCAACCACTATCGCCTTTTCAAGTACACCATGCTGAGGGGCAAAACCCTCACACATATTGCTCAAGAAGCTCGAAGGCTCGTGACCGAGGTCAGTGCAAGCAACCCGGAGTGCGAGATCGATGTCTTTTGCTGGTGGCTTGGCAACGAAGTGTGCGGCGATTACGAGTGACTGCCTGGCGCCCAAGCACACTCAACAGTGTTGAACATGTCACGGCCCGCATCCGCAATGGGATCGAGATCTTGGCTGCCCTCGCGGGCATGCCTCAGGTCTCCGCCGTGCACGTCCACAGCAATCCGGCATCCTACATCTACAACCTGCGCCCGGAGTACAATGTGGTCATGACGCAGGCCCTCAACGAGGCAGATGCCAAAAGGGCTTTCGACCATCTGCATAGATTCTCTGGCGCAGTTTTTGGTGTTCCAGGATGGCTACCACGCCCGGGACACTTATGAAAACCGAGCGCACTTTTCTCGGTACTTGAGCAATACACTCCTTCTTCTGGATCGCGAAGTGGTGGCATCTCGACTTCGTCCTGGCGTGGACGCGCTGGTTCATCACTTTCGACATCATGATGATACCTTCCGACCCAACGAGGAAAGGCAGCGCATTGGGGCGGAGATGACAGCCACCATCAAAAGGCTCCAGGATGAAGAAGAGGCCAGGATTCAAGCCAGGATCAATGCACGTAGCTCCGGGCAACCGGTAGCCTCTGGCGATCTCAGGTGGGAAAGAGCGGATAGGAGTATCCCCACGGCTCATTGGAAGGTCAAACAGAGGCGTGCCGAGATCGAGCGAGACATGCAGAGGGATCTCGCTGAGGGCGATTTGGACTTCGAGGCACCATTCATCCTCCCCGACACCGAGCTTGTCCCCGTGGAAAACAACCGGGAAACCAACTTCGTTGCTGCCGGAGAAACCGTCGACGAGGCACTCGACATCATCGAGGCGTTGCGCGAGGTAGAGCCTGAGGCCGAGCCTGCTGCAAGCTCCCCGCGAGGGGATGCCTCCAACTTGGGCGGCACCGGCGAGGGCGAGGACATGGTCATCGAGGAGATGTATGGCGCTCCACCACCGGAGGAGGAGATTGTCTTGCGGGCAGCGAGGGAAACCTTTCACTTCCGAGGAGGGGAATTTGTCCTGCGCGATATGCCCCAGGACACCCTCAAGAAGCCACGCAAGCGCCTCTGGTTTCATCACGGCGATCTGGTGTTTTTCACAGGCCTAGTTCGTGGAAATTTCACGCGTGACTTCCCCGAGCTCAAACATGATGAAGGTCTCTGGGTCAGCGTTGAGAAATGCCTCGATGTGTTCAACAAGACCCGCAAACGTCATTGGGGTGTCCGCCAAGTGATCCAGATGGTGGCAGAAGACCGAAAAGGCAGGATGGAGATGAGGGGGATAGACATTCAGAGGAAGGACGCCGTCAATCAAGCCTACTTCCCCGTGATCATCCGTGCCACGCAAGGTCACAATGCCAGCGTCGCAAAGAACCCTGACACCGACTTCGCGCTTGCTTCCGCCTACTACTCCACCCTGGACAAGACGGAGGCCGACTCGGCAGCCATCCGCGAGGGTGTGCCTATCGTCTGTTTGGAGGACGTGCCAAAGATCCTCTACCGCAGGACGACCCGAGACAGCTTCCAAAGCATCCTCCAGGGGGGCTTAGTGGCAGGATCCCAGGGCAGTGGCAGAGTGCACAATTATTTCGCCACGTGTCCCGTCTCGTCTGAGGAGTACAAATCTAGCGTTCGAGCATACGCACCCATTGAGATAAAATGGGATACAGAAAAACTCCTCAGGAGCGGATGCCTTCTCTTCACCACCCGCTCCGAGGGCGTGCTATGCCGTGAACCCTGTGCTCCAGCCGCAATCATTTCGATCATCGACACTGTCAAGGAGGAGGTGCTCTACTCCCTGCGTCTCGATGATGCTCCGGAGATTCCTAGTGGCTCAGCTGGATCTGCGTTGACATCCCGCAAACGGCAGCTTCCCGCAAGGGAAAGCCTATCCGGAACGGATGCGCCAATGGCAGAGCCAGATGATGAGTACGTGGAAGTGGAGGTTGAGCCGGACGAGCACATGGACGAGCCCGTGGGTGAGGTGCCGCAGCCAAGGACTCCGCCATCCACGCGCATGACCGTGGAGGACGTTGCTGCTGGTGTCCCCGAGGCGGAGAACCCCTTCGCAATGACGGGGCCATCAGCATTCCCGTGTCCAACGTGCCAGGCGGAGTGCTTCGTGGGGCAGCATCACTGTCTCCGCTGCCGGCGTCGCCTTGCAGATTCACGCGGGGAGGATCGTCGTTTCATTCAGGCTGCCCAGCGCCGGAACAGGATTCTGGACCGCTTAGCAACCGTCGGCGTGTCGGTCCACAACATCAGTCCCTACGAACTGCAAAAGCTGGCGAAGCACACCAAAGATGAGGAACGTGGACAGATGAGTTACGAGGCTCACACAATCCGCAAGGCGAAGGACAAGGTCCAGCGTGCCCTCAAGATCAAAGGCACCAACTACAGGAATTTGGCGGACCGCTTTGACAAGGATCCGACTTTCGCAGCCAGGCAAGCGGAAAACGGCCTGACGCGCATGGACATGCGTCGTCTCCAGGTCTATGCCACTGGATTTTTGCCAGCACCCGGTCGCACCCGCCAGCAAGTCATCCTCGGGGCTGGAAGCCAGGCTGATTTCAACGCCTCCCGGTCGGAAGTCAACGCCAAGCTCGTGATCTATGAAGGCGTTGCCATCGAGGAGCTGCAAGCCTTGGGGTTGGCGGATGAGCAGATGACCGTGAACATGGGTGTGGGCTGGCATGGCACTTTCATGGATGTTGCCACGTTTGCGGGGTTGGCCCTCGGCAACGAGGATGCCCGAAAGGTGCTCACCTTCAACGGCCTCGTCAGTTTGCAGGCCACCAACCTCGAGGCTCTCAAGACGGAGATCAGTGAGCTGATTGTGGCTAATCATGAGCCGGCCAAGGCTAAGGTCAGGTCCGACCAGCCGGCCCGTGCCAGACAATCTGAAATTTCAAAAGACAAATCAGAGGCTGCTCCAGCTGCTCCTCGCCAGCGATGGTCGGATGCAGACTGGGATAAGTGGCATTACGGAAATTACGGAGGTTACCACGGCCGCACATGGTATTCGGCCGCCGAATGGCGCCGTTACTGGGGCCAGTGATTACACAGCATGATGTAATGAAGGGCCATGTATGATAATTTTGGCTTGCTACACTCGCCACAAAAGTTTCACAAAAGCACACCTGAAGCTACCCGCGAGGGTATGCCTGTTTCTTTGGAGTGCTAGTGTGCATTAGTGCTCACGCACACGGCGAGGG